CCCCGCACCCTTCCAGGTGCCACCAACCCCCCTCCCGGTGCCACCAGCATCCCTCCTGGTGCCACCAACATCCCTCCTGGTGCCACCAACATCCCTCCTGGTGCCACCAACATCTTTTCTGGTGCCACCAACACCCCTCCTGGTGCCACCAACCCCATGCCCAGCCAGGTGCTACCTGCACACCTCCTCGGTGCCACCAACATCTCTTCTCCCGAGGTCGCTGCCCTGTCCTCACATCTCTTTGGGTGCCACTCGTGTCCCTCCTCCTGGGGACACCGGCCCTGTGTCCAGCCCCAGCCATGTGCCACCCCTGTCCCCAGGTGATCTCAGCTCAGCAGCTGCCCAAGGTGACAGGGCAGAAGGACAGTGCCATCGTGGACCCCCTGGTGCGGGTGGAGCTCCACGGGGTCCCCCCCGACTGCAGCCGCCAGCAGACACGCCACAAGGTCAACAACGGTGAGAGCCCACCTGGCCCTGGGGACCTGTCCCCAGCCCTGGGACACCCAGAGAGACCCCGGAGACACCCTGGGACACCCTGGGACACTCGGGGAGACCCCGGGACACCCGGGGACACCCCAGGGACACCTCAGCACAACCCCCTCTCCCCCAGTACAGCCCTGTCTGGCCACAGTGTCACCCCCACTCCCCCAGTATGCCCTATCATGGCCTCAGTCTGGTCCTAGTATGACCCCCACTCCCCCAGTGCAGCCCAGTCTGGCCCCTCCACCACCTCCATTCCCCAGTCCGCCCCATCACGGCCCCAGTCTGACCCCCAGTCACCCCAGTCCCCACACATCCCAGTGCAGGACATAGCTCAGCCAGGGCAGGGCTGATCCTGCCCCACCCCCCTGGCTGCTGGGTGACCATGGTGGCTGCTCCTCCTCATCCTATCCTCCTCATCCTCCTCCTCATCCTCTTCCTCCTCCTTCTCATTCTTCTCCTCATCATCCTTCTACTCCTCATCCTCAATCCTCTTCATCCTCCTCATCCTCCTCCTCCCCATCCTCATCCTTCTCATCCTCCTTATCCTCATCCTCAACCTCCTTTATCCTTTATCCTCAACCTCCTCCACTTTATCCTCCTCCACTTTATCCTCCTCATTCTCATCATCTTTCTCCTCCTTATCTTCATCCTCATCCTCAACCTCCTCCTCCTAATCCTCCTCATCCCCCTCCTCAGGGTTCAACCCTCGCTGGGAGGAGACGCTGCGGTTCCAGGTGCGGGCACCTGAGCTGGCGCTGCTGCGCTTCGTGGTGGAGGATCACGACAGCACCTCCCCCAACGACTTCGTGGGGCAGTTCACGCTGCCCCTGCCCAGCGTGCGGGCAGGTGGGTGGCTCTGCCCGCGGCCACCGCAGGGACAGGGGGTCCCTCCTGCCACCCGCTCAGCCCTCTCTGTCCCCAGGGTACCGGCACGTCCACCTGCTCTCCAGGGACGGGGCGCCC